CAACAACTGAAATCCCTTGATTGAGCTGCTACCCCCATGCGAAGTTGTACCGGGATAAAGGCTGACTGCACTGATGTACAGTATGATGTACAGAATCACTCTTGTCTAGTGGTTGATTGAACCTCGAATCCCATTCCAGAGAACGGAAAGACCGTAATCCATGTGTGATAGGGAATAAATACTGTACTGTGCAATTTGAGGTTTCACTTTCAAGCGTCGTTCACAACGTCACGTGGTGATGTTTACGAAACGGTCTTCCGAAGGAATGCAATAAATGTCAAGAGATAAGGACCACTAATCACGGGGATGAAGAGCGGGCACTGGTCAACGGGGAGCAAAGCTCAGTCTTACGGTCCAAAGAGAGCAAGCTGGAACGCTAAGTGGAAGTGGGCCAGCGGGGTTTACGGTTATCATACGATCAATGAAATACGGAAAACCACGATACCGACAAGACTCATTGGTAGATAAATGTTCGATAAATATCGAGGTGGTATGATAACTAAATTGTGCATGGTATAGGGTTGACAAAAATGGCCGTGGAATGCGCGGGGCGTGGTGGTCAGGAAATTACATCTAAACGATCGACTAAGCATGTGGAAGATCTCAGAATGAATGTTTAACGGGATTGAAACTAATGCAAAAGGTCTGGTTTGATTAATATTCCAAGTATTTTTAATCCTCCAGTGCATAGATACTGTTATGGTAGTAATATTTTATACATCCTCTGGTTTTGTTTGACTGGAAAGCCTTTCTGCTACCGCCTTTCCTTCTCAGTTATAAGTTATCACATGTTTTAATTGATGAAGATGAACATGACGCAAAATTTTTATCACTTTTTGTGGTGTTGTCGATTACGTGAGAAATGGATCATGATACATTTTTCGCATTGTCTTTTAACTTGCTGAAGATGTTCGTTTTATGGTCCATCACACTCTTCATAAAACTTTTTCTATTCAATATCCCGAAAGCTATGATGCGCATCGGCCTTGACCTTTGTTAATGTACATTTCTCTTGGTCCATAATGGTAGATTTTCCTTGACTGTCCCACTCCATATCATGCGTCATTCTACCCCAAAACCCTCCCTCAGTTTAGCGTTTGCTTGTATCATGTTTGCTGAGTATAGTTGAACTTTACTAACTCATTCCATGAAGTATTTTGATGCATCCTACCTTCTGCACCGGTCTTTAAACTGTAACCATTCCCTGTTTTACATCTTCATGTGGCATTGTCCCGCATTTCTTTGATCGCACAGGAACCGTATATCCAATCGAAAGCCCATTTTTTCACCGTTACATCTACTCTGTA